TTTTATAGAGGCTTGCCATCGGTACGATTTAACCGACTAGTCGTTTTAATCGTACCACTAAGTCTTTAAATCGTACCATGGGCGTGTAAGTCGTACCACTGAATGAATTAATTAATAAGACATTAAAATTCTCAATCAAATTATTTATTTTTAACTCTTAGGTAAGTAATAAAACAACATTATTTAAATCTTTTAGATAATAGAAACATAAGTTTTAACTCCTAGGTTAAATAAAGGAACTATACCTACGCTTTCTCAGTAATAAAATGACATGATTATACTATGATAATGAGATCAATCAACATAACTAATAAAAATGGGACAAAAAAAACAGTAAACTATAATAATAAAGTAACAGTTAACAAGAATGTTATTTGTAATATACATAATTATTGTCCATATTTCTTAATGGAAACAATCATGACAAATGTCTGGACTCGAAGTACATATCTCATGTAGCCACCGTTTACAGCGAACGCATTGAATCCTTGATTGAATGGACCCTTCTTATGGACCCTTTCGACATATATTTTCAAGATAATCATCGCTGTCATCATCATCATCTAGTTCTACAACAAGTGTCTCTCCTGAATCATCGCTACTGGTGATGGAATGAGATCGTTTCCTCTTATAAGTTTTGTTTTTGGCCTTCGGTAGTACTTACTATACGTACTTGCGGTAGTACTGTAGGTACTTGCGGTTGGTAGTCGGGTAAATCGTACCAGTACAATTTAACCAACTGCAAGTGGTACGATTAAACCAACTAAGGTATTTCTAAAACAAAAGCAAATATCCAGCATAAACTCAAAACTTAGACACGCAACAAAAACCCCCAACAATCTAGTATACAATTGTGTAATAATAAAAAAAAACTAAATAACTATAGCTTACCTTGATTACGAGTTATCTCCTTACGAATGTATGACAATATTTATTGATTCCTACAAAAAATGTTTTTCTTTTATTACTTGCACAGTTGTTAACTCACGTCGATTTAAACTAGTGGGTGAAGAGGGATGGTGCAGGGCCACAATTTGGCGTTGTCAATGTAGAAAAAAATGTTCATTAAATGAGAAATTTAGAGGTGGTACGATTTAAATGCTAGTACGATATAACCAACTCTCCCCTATATTTGCCGCAAATATCTCAAAGTTAAATCATACAGAACTTGCCTGGCACAAAAACATCGGCTGCCAGAACATAATTCCTTCAATCGAAAAATTGGCCTTAAATTTTTCATTTCATGCCTTTAATCCGGAAACATATAATTTACATGTTGTTTTCATAAAACAATAACAGACTATCGTTCTAGTTTGGGCTTGTAGACATTCTAAAGAGTTTTTTTAGAATTGTTGACAGCTTTTTTTTACAAAGTAGCATAGAGACACTAAATAGAATTATAAAATTCCAAAGAGGTGTAAAAAAATTAGATTCGACTCAACGTACTCTTTTATGCTTCCAAACTTCATTTTAATATAATGGAACAATGACATTAAAAATATTAAAGGTAGTAAATAAAAAATCATAAAATTCATTTTTATTTCTTTTCAAAAATTACTTAATTTTAATACGACCTTACATTTATTTCCTAAAGAATTTTGCAAATATAACTCGATATAGATAATGTCTATTTGAAATATTTAAACTATATAGAAATTTCTAGAATAAGATAACGGTAACGAGTTGAAAGATCCATTCGTAGAGGTGTGAACATAAATAAAAAATCGATAGTAAAATAATTCATTATATGTAGATAGTTTTAAAATAACATCTTTATAGCTGCGGAGTCAAGTAGCCTTGTAATTGATGTGTCATATTGTGTATTAAATTCTTTTCTGAAATAAAAATTAAATTTTTCTTTAATTATAAATTGATGTTTAGTAAAATAAAGGGATGTGTGTCCGAATAGTCTTCTAAAATATACTAACTATGAAATTAATTGCATAAACATATTAAATACTTATCACAAATATATTTAAACTTCTTAAAAAATCTAATTTGTGTGCTTGTTTAAAAAAAAGTTCATTGTTTTTGTTTTCAAATTTAACATTCTACGTCTAACTAAATACCGTTGGGATTTAAACTACTTATCATTAAATAAGTCTACTTAAATCTCAAGTGTTGTGTTTTGTTAAACTACTAATTTAGGCTTTATACAACCTAAACAAAACAATACAATATACACGTAATTTTTTATTCGCTCAGTATATATAGTATATTTTATTTACTAAAAAGATTCTACAAAGAAGTTGGTTATTAAAGTAAAATAAAATTAAGATCCCAAAGGATAATATATCTTAAACTATTCCATCTAAATATTATTCCCATTAATATAAATTGCATTGATATCACAACAATTCAATTATTCTACTGATAGTTACATATAAATTAATTATCTATAAACTGAGACTAGCTGTATCAATCCTTAAAGATGACGCTATATAACTTTACGCTACTCGAAAGAGCTTAGACACATGATAAAACTAATCCCATAAGCTTGGTAAGTATCATGACTTGTGTTGAAATATATCATCAGCCAACCGGCAGTCTGTATTTTTGCACGCCCACGTCTCATGAGTGTCATGCCAGCATTCATGAGCGGCGCATGGACCACACAATCTCGTCAAAGTCAGATAAATCAGACAAGATAAATAAATATATCTGCCGCGCCCCCCCTCTGGAACATTTACGTATGCTGTAATCTATATAATCTATTGTTTGTTGAGGATATATAGACGTGTTATTATATAGCTAAGAAGATCTACATTCAGTCGTATATGATGAAATAGTATCATAAAAATATAAAAAAAATTCATTCGACCACAAAGAGGTGTAAAGACAAATGTCGATGAACAAATTCCTTTCCTCTAGTTTTCAATAACTTCAGTGATGTAATGTTTCTGGCTTTTTTTCAACAGCTCCAGCCTCCATCTCTTCCACAGAGTATAAGAGTAGACAAAAACAGAATATAACGAAAAACAACATAGTAGGATATAGAATAGAAAAATTAAAATAATCTTAGCTAAAGTTACCCAAGTCTTTAATACCTATGTTTCAGTATATTTTTAAATATATTCTATTTTATAAAACTTGGTATCTTATCCATTATATAAGATTCAAAATGCAGTATAAAACATATTCATACTGTTTCATATGGCTTAAGAGCAAGGCACCTTCATCTTATTTTTCTAGCAAAAGCATTGTCCCTGTTGCTAATCAGTAGCAGTGTTTTACTGATGCAAATGTAAACTTATAAATATATTACGCGTATTTTTATTATTTTATAATTATGTATTACATATTACATACAATGTAATCTCAACGTTTTTTCCTGTCGATTCTTTCATCTTATTTGCCCGTGATCACAGATGTTGTAAAATGATATCAGAATCTTCTCTTACAAGCGACATTGTCCTATTGACTCTAGGAAATGAGCTTCGATAGTGCTTTGAAAGTAGTAACAATGAATGAAAAAGTGACAAAACTAATAACTTTATGAAAAAGAAGGAGCAAATCACTTGCAAGAGAATAGGTACATACTTGATATCCTGAAATCGATTTTTTTATTTGTAGTATTGAAGCAAAATCGAAAGAGGTGTAAGTTAAATAGTAAAAGTGGGTAACGTAAAATTTATAAAATAATCTTCAATAGATTTTTTGGTGACGGAGACTAAAAGAGTCTAATCGAACTAATACAGAACAAAATTATTTTATGTCATACATAATTTATGGAAGAATGGTGTCTACAAAAAGAATATAGAAGACAAGTACAGAAAACGACAACCTGAAATTCAGAAAATATTAGAATGGGGATAAACATTCATTTTACAAAATAGATATGGATGACATCATGTATTTAAAAGTAACAGTATGTCAAGATAATAATACTATAAAAAACAATATTAAAATCTTAAATTTACTATCTGCAACAAAAATAATAAACCGATATTGAAATTTTATATGAACAATCTGCTACACTTTAACAACATAACAAAACCATATATTGTAAAGTAGTCAAAATACATATCTGTTTGCAACATGCAACTGCTAGCATGTGTTAAAAAATGACTTTTCACATAAACATCTTAACGCAAACAGTATCTACCTGTCTGAATAAAATATTACATAAGTCACGTAAGTTTGTGAAACTACTTTGGTATTGTCAAAGAAAACGTGTTTAATCTTTTTTGAAATTAGACCAACGAAAGAAATTAATTATCATTGTTAACAACTTCAATAATGCGCAATTGTGTTTCTATTTTTATATTACGCATATAACCTAGACGACGCTTAAGTATATTGCAATTTAAACTTTATTTTTTGATAATTAACTACGTAAAATCATTTTTCTCATAATCAATTTCTTTAAATGGCTTAGTAAAAAAATTTTTTTTTCTCCCGGACATCATTTGAAAATCAACTTTAGGTAGTAGATACAAAAAAAATTACTAAATCCGCCTTTTAGACTTTTTAGCATTTTTTTTTAAGTAGGTACACAGAGCTTTTGACAATACAATACGTATGTCAAACATTTTTACGATTTATTGTATCTATGTTAAGATTAATAATGTAAATTTTCATTAAACCATCATTTACAATGCAAATTCAAGACTGTAACATTTAAGTGATTATTATTATTTGATAATGTTAATCTAATAAAATTTTCCGTGTATGTAGTGGAATTTATAATTTTCAGAGGTTTTATTATCTATGACAGTCTCTGACAATGACAGTAGTGCCTGCAACGTGAATTCCGTTATGTCAAGTCTGTCGTTTCGATCATCGCGTTGACTGGCTGGCGGCTGCTGAACATTTTATAGTTCGTGTTGTCCGCCATTTTGCATTACTTAAATAATTTGCGTCGCTGTTGTTTAAGATATATTACCATTTAGACTTAGTAGACAAAGTTAAACTGTGATATAAAGACTTAATTAATTATATAAGTGTTCTTTGTTATTTATTGATTTTATATTTATTTAAGTGAATTAGTTTATATTACAATGGGTAGAAAGAAGAAGAAGGCGTCGAAACCTTGGTGCTGGTATCCTTTTTCATAGAACCTATTAATCTATATATTTCATACATGTTATGCATCCTGCGGATGTAGGTGTTGACGTAAATATTAGTTTATTATTTATCAATAGTGCATATTTGTCAATAGTCGATTTCCTTAGCGCTCTATTTAGGTATTGCAACAGAGAGTTTGACGATGAGAAGATATTGATACAGCATCAGAAAGCAAAGCATTTCAAATGTCATATATGTCACAAGAAGCTGTACACGGGTCCAGGGTTGTCAATACACTGCATGCAGGTACGTGCGCCCTATATTCTTGGCAGACGCCCCGCCCGCCCACGCGCTAGCTCTGCAGTATTTTTTTAAGTCATCTTATAGGTTGAGATATTTTGGCACGCCTAACGCGCCATACTGTTCTACGATAGTTGATCGCAAATACCCGTCCTTATAATTCGCTGTTAATTTTTTAGTATCCGAGACGTAAATGTATTCGTTCTTACCATGGTTCCAGGTTCACAAAGAAGCCATAGACAAAGTTCCAAATTCTTTACCAAATAGGTCAAATATAGAAATAGAAATATATGGCATGGAAGGTATACCCCCTGAAGATGTGAAGGAGCATGAGAAACAAAAGACAGGTATAAAACAACGTTATGTTATTGGCTTTGGCTGTTTTGGGATCATAAAGTATGTACAATCATGTTTTACCTTGAATTTCTTTTGCTTGGGACACTGTAGCCATAGATGTAAATTGATGTGTAGCGTTAGTGTTCCATAAAGGTAGGTTTTTGAGTCATTTGTTGTGCATATTTTACCAAGAGTCAATCCTTTAGGTGGGGGGAAAGGTTCAGACAGTGATGATGATGAGCCGGCGGCTAAGAGAAAAGCTACTCCCGCTTTGGTAAGAAATAACCTTTATTAATCAGTATTATGATAATTGGATTACAGGAAGAAGTAAGTAATGAAATTTATTACCACTCTTATTGTAAACAGAACTTATCAAGGTTCTTTGTATCACACGATCTATAATTGTTTTTATTAAATTGAAATTATGTTATAGCACAAGCATAAATTACTGTAAGTAATTTTTATATATAATTTGAACTATATTATGCAGTTTTTGAGCTCAGTTTAAAAGAATTAAGTGATATTCGATTGTAATGATCAATTTAACTATCCGATGATTTTGATATGTATATATTTTATATACAATGTTATATTTCTTTCTTCAGCTGGGTCCGGGGCCCTCACAAGTGAACCCCGGCATCCTCCCCACTCCAATGGGTCAGATGCCTCCCGGGATGTATCCTGCACATATGCAAATGAACCATATGATGCCACACTTTATGCATTCACCTCGGTAAGAACAATATTTTAGTTTTATATAGTAAAAAACCATGTAGTTACATTTAAATTACTTTTTTTCTTATTACTTTACTTACTTTCATAAATCATAATTGTGATATAAATGCTGAAATAATTGGCCTGTTATGTTTAATGGTCTTTGTATACTGAAAATGTGCGGTAGAACATGTTAAATATTCTTAATACTGTACATATTGAAAGCAATACTTAATAATAATTAAATATAATTTATATGGTTAACCAACCAACCGATTATAATAATTTTATGACATGAAAATTGCAAATAAATCTATGTTGAACGTCATAATTAGTATATGAGACAACCTTTCTAAGAGTCAAACCTCAAATGTCTTCTAATATATATAAAATTTTGTATTATTAATGATTGAACAACAATAATTAAAATTAAATTGTAATATATTTAAATGGAGAGTGCAATTATGGACTATAATTATTAATTATTAACAGTTTTAATTGGTCTTCTTTCAATTGATCTCTTAATATCTCATTATGTGTTATCACTATAATTATTATCTGTTTTATACTCACTGACTACTCTGTTTATAAATACATATATATATAATCGCCAACTATTTCCTTTGTTATAACTTGTAACAATTGTATGGTGTTATTTTTCTCATATATTTTTATTGACAATTCTTCAAGGTGTATGTAAAATAATAAGACTTTGAGAAATAAAAGTTTATTAAGTCAATATAAATAATGAATAATTTGTATTGTTTCAGAATGATGATGCCTGGTATGCGGCCATTGTTCCCAGCGGCAAGTGTCCAGACATCGACACCAAACAAACCTACCTTTCCTGCATATAGGTATTATAATTAACTACAATCATGAACAAACAGTAATTATTAGAAACATCAGTTATATGATAAAAGAAAATAAACATTGCTAGTGTCAAAATAACTAAATGGCATTTCCTATGTAGCTTTAATTACTAATATCAGTTCAATTCTGCAGAGTGCCATCAAAAGAACAAAAATTAATTAATATGTATTATATCAAGTATTTACTTTTATTTAAATTTATTCTAATAGGTTTAAGAAGATAAGCAATCCAAAATTATTTGCATCAAGCCCTTAAATTTGTAATAATAATATCTAAGTATTTATTTATGTAAAAACATACAGCTTAAATTATTTCGGTAGAGTAAAAACAATTTTGACAAAACAGTTTCATAGTTATTCTGACATGGAGTGTACCTTACATTAAAAATGATAATATGTATGTAGTATGCTTAAACCTTCTCCATGAGAGAAAAAGGCCTTTGCTCAGCCAAGTGGGCTCTGATAGGCTGTAAAAAATAATGTAGTATGCATCTTATTACTTTGTAATGCCATATAGATTTAAATAAAAGAATAAAATTTGTTTATTAATGTAACTTATACCTATACAAAAGATACAGCTAGGGAGCTCCTTTTAAGAAATGGAATTAACTTGTGTTAGGAGTCCCCGTGTTAAATGCCATATAGTTGGTGATGCCATATAATTTTAATTATCATCATCTTATTCCCAGCAATGCAACAATAAGTGCGCCTCCCACGACATCAAACTCCGATCCCAAAGAGAACGGTGACGTGCGACCTCCAGCGGCCAACACTTGTCCCTTAGTGACGTCCACGGGCGCGGGCTCCAAGATCATCCACCCGCCCGAGGACGTGTCTCTAGAGGAGATACGCGCCAGGAACCCCAAGTACAGGCCCAAACCTAAACCTGACACACACATACAGAGCGCTCCCGCAATGATCACACCTACTAGCCAGGCGGAGGTTAGTCACCTTATCCTACTAATATTATAATCGCGAAAGTTTGTGAGTGTGTGTATGTTTGTTACTTCTTCACGCTCAAACTGAACAGATTTTGATAAAATTTTGTATACAGGAAGGAATAACATATAGGCTACTTTACATCCCGGAAATCCACGGGTAACACCGCAGGGCGCAGCTAGTATATATATATTTACTAATTGTGAGAAAATTGCCTTGAAAGTAACTGATATAGGAAATATTTCATCTTAAACTTTCTTCTGATAATCTGCTTCCAATGTAGATACTCGAAATTATTTAATGGTAGTTACGCGAATTTACACTATCCACGACGATATATTAAATCTTATTAGTCTGTGCTTACTCAGAAACTGCTGAATGTGACGAGTTTTTATAGTTTACAAACATTATCATTGACATTCAGATACTTATATATTAGTATCAAGTTTAAATTACTGTGTATGCATGTTTGTGTCAGTTATAACTCACAAACTGCAGACTGAAGGTTATTTTCTGTTAGCATATGTTAGTATTATAGGAATTCTAATTACACTGATCAAGTTCTTGTTTGGTTGAGATTATAGTTCATTCCTAGTGTATGTAATGAATCACTCAAACAAGATTAACAAGCCTTAGTTTAAAGTAATCTTGTTTTATTCATTTGTCTGTCACATGTTCGGATTTAGTATAGTACAATTTAAGGAAGAGAACTTGACTCTTTTCAAAGTATTTTATTTATTGAGTTTTCTATATATCAATGGCTCCTATGAATAAGGTCCAACAAATACACATTTTTTAAATGGGTGCTGTAGAATACAGTACATATTATGAAGTGTTTAAAGAAAAAAAAATAACATTTCTAAATCGCTATATTGGTCCGTATACATAGGAGCCATTGATATTATGATGGAATAAATTAGTTGTTTCTCAATTCTTTATATTTCAAGTGTGTGTGTGTGTGTAGGTGGCTGCCCACATGTCAGCGGCGGTGGCGGCGGCCCGGCAGCAGGCCATGCGGCGGCCGCTCATGCAGCCCGTCGTGCTCCAGCAGCCGGTGCGCGTGGGCGTGCCCGTGAGCGTGCCGCCCGTCATGGGCATGCTGCCCGTCATGCCGCAGTTCAACCTCATGCGGCCCCTGCAGCCGGGTCAGTATAGCGGCTGACCGACTCACTCACTCACTCACTCACTCTCATACACTCGACTCTCCGTCTGTCATTCTCTTTGTACAGCCGCACACTGCCGCCGCCCCTCGCTAATCGTCTGTGCTTTATAAACTCTTAAACAAATTCCTTCAACGACACAACGATCACATTTCGTTATTTTTTTTCTCAGTTCCATATTATCACCTTAAACTGTTTAACGCCTACTGTAAGTGTTATTGATAAAAAAATTAAAATTTTCAGATAATTCTACAATTTAATCATCATAAAAACATAGTTAAGACGTTTCCTTTGATTGGATCTTTTCTATACATATTATGAAAGTCGCATTTTATCGTAATGTATGTTGATGTCAATATAATCGAAGTTTGTTATCGAGTTAGTATATTATAACCAGTATTAAAGTGTCACATTTGAATGATATATTATAATCATGAACGATTGAGACTGCAGTTAGACATTCCAATTGAATATGTTCATTGTATTTTCTTAAGTATTATTTAAGTAATTATTTTTTCTTATAATTAACACAATCTATTGTTATAATAACAATGTTAGGTACTAGTTGTGTACGAACTTTATACAGTTGGTGGTTTGTTAAGTGATGTTGCTGTTTGATTAGACTCGAATGTCTTCTATCAGTTACTGTACAACATAATTGTAATATAATAGGACATATCGGCGTGGAAAATGGAGTGATCTGTTTAATTTGGAGCTCAAATAAATTATTAGACTTCGTGTAATTTTATTTCTATTTTCCACGGCTGTTCCAGAAAGGCATAGAAAGAATTTTATACCACGATCGTTAAAATAATATCGGCGCTAGGAGGCCCGACGACAGAGAGATGCTCCGGACAGGGCGTGGAGTCACTCGCTCGTAACTAGTCAGTGTGATACATGTAACGGTATTAACAGCTCACAGGCTCGTTAGTGGCGCGGCGGCGGAGCGGCCCCTTACTGTAGTTAGTGTCTCGGCCACCGGTGGGTACACACTTGTATTACCGTACTGTAGTTTGTGCTTCGAGTGCATGGGCTCGTGCGGCGGTGGTGGGGGTAGTCCGTGCCTGCCCCCTCTCACAGGCGCGTGTTGCAGGCATGCTGCTGCCGGGCGGCGTGATGCCGGTGGGCGTGTTCCCGGGCGGCGGGTGCGGCGTGGTGATGCAGCCGCGCTACCGCTAGCGCAGGTAAGCGCGGGACTGTCGGCCGCATCCCCTGCCGGCGCAGGCGACCCCCGTCACAACGCTCGTTGTTGGACGCGCGCCCCAGTCCCGCGGGTCCGGCCCCACACCGACCGTGTCTCATGACGGCGACTTCTCGATTGTATATTTGCCTTGAAATTTTTTTTCTTCCTGAGCGTTCCCACGTGAAGTTGTGACGTTTTTGCCTATTCTTGTAGAATTTTGACCGTTTTACTCAATAAATGCTCTCGACTTGAATGTTCGCTTTTTATTTGTTAGCCGTCCGGCTAATCGTGTCATGATCTGCACCTTAGTCCTAGCGCTTGTCGAGCCCGCCCTCGCCTCGAGCACTCAATGTCGACGGCGGGCTCGCTCTTAGAGAATGGTATTATGTAATTTTGTATACTTTTAACTTTTTATTCCGAATAATTAGATCTTACCTTTAATGTTTTAAATTAAACTTCACTGTACTTAATAGTGTCGTATATTAATAATAATAATAATCGATTGTTACAATAAAAGGTCTCGATTGTATACATAACACATCTATTTCTCATATCTAACCACTAATGTGTCCGAGGCGACCGAACCCTACCGCAACAGGAATATTAAATGTTAAACTATTATCACGTTAAACCGACGTCAATAAACCATAAACATCCCAGAAGAAACTGCACAACAGATAAGTAAACGAGTAAAATATTGCTATTAAAATTAAATATTCAACAAATTATTAAATTCTTTATATGGCAACTTCCTATAACACTTGGAATACAATATTATGTTCCAATACACGTAGATTACACTCGCAGTTCAATGTATACTAGCAAGGCTCTATAAGATGATTATTTTGGTCTGAAATATGTTTCAAAGTCATCAAACATCTATATATAGGTCATTTATAAAACTACAAAAATTTGAGCGCTCCCAAAGTCACATGACGACGCCAAATGTTATATTTTTTATTACAAACAGTCAACTATATCTATGCGCCGGTGAAGGCGACCTCTCGACTAAACCTAAACAATCTCTTTCGATATGTAAGTGTTCGTTTCGATTGAACATTAAAATAAATCACAACCCTTCTAATTAAGAACGTTTGGCAGTTCATTGGGCATGTCGGGTGTGAAGACTAGCTATGTTTATATTGAGAGTGAACTACATACAGATACTAGTCTATGGCACCGATACAGACCGAGCGCTCGAGACGGACCCGGCGAGGCGACATCAACAGTAAGTATAAAAAATTCAGACTGACGAAAAATACGTCTCACTAAAATATAATTAAAGCTACTTATATTGAGTGCCACTACACTGATAAGTATTCACTGTATACGCCACTATCATATTTAGCGTAGATTATAACTAGATACCCATTTTATACTTGTCCATCGAAGCTTACATTCAAGATAATGGCAAAAAATGTCTAGGAACCTAAGACGATTACATACAAATGTTACATATAAAATACTAAAGGGTTAGTTGTCGGGGGAATTAGTGAATGTTCTGTATATTTCGTAGGTCGGTGAGGCTGACCTCATAAGGTCGGTGCAGGGCGTGTTTGTCCGGGTCATGTTCTCGAAGTGTTCCCTCATGGCGGCCACGTGTCCGGCCATCACTCCGTCCCGGTCGCTGACCGTGAGCCGCTCCGCTCCCTCCGTGTCCGATAGTAGCGACCCGTCCGAACTGGCGGTGTAGTACATGTCGCTGGTCGGCTCGGACACCACGTCTGGTGTCTGGTGGTCGGACACGACGTGGTGTTTATTGTCGTCTGTTCGTTTCGTTTGTTCGTGTCGTGGTTGAGTCATATCTTCGCCAGGTGTGACCGGACTCGTTTCATCCTCGTTCTGTTCTGTTCCAGTCTGTATGTCCCGGCCTTTTTCCGTGCTCCTGTTCATATAATCCTCGTCACTCCTCTCCGTATCTTCAGCTAGTATCTCCTCGCTCCATATTTCCGCGAGGTGTGTGTCAACTTCCCTCACAACAACTTCTCGTGGTTGTATCAGCTCGTGTTCGTCGTAGGAGGTCTTCATAGTGTCGCACAGCTTGTTGATAGCGTCCACCACGTCCCGCAGGTCGCTGACGTCCTCCTCGGGCATGGCCACCTGTTCTATGGGCAGGTTCACTTGCGGTTGGAGCTCCTCCATCTGTCGGACCGGCGCTTCCTCTTGTTTTGTGATCGTGGGCGCGTTTTTGGCGATCGTGCTGGCCGGCCCTAACAGGGCGTGGGCGACGGCCAGCAGGGCGTGGGCGGGGTGGGCGTGGGCTAGGTGTGTGTTGTCGGTGCGAGCGGGGGCGGGCGCGGGCGCGGCGGCGGGCGCCCCCCGCGGCCGCTAGCACGCGCTCGACGTGCCCGTCCAGCCTTCAAGCGGCACACGCAGCGGAGGAGCAGGAGCCGGGGCCTTACTCACTGGTACACACACACACACATATACACGTTACTTACATCAGACAATGTTAGTTTTGTTGATAGGAACGGACGCATCTCTACATGACATACATTTTATTATTATTTGAACTGAACACTCATCTGGCATAAGGCATTAAAATAAGTTTTAATTTAACTTTATGATATACGGCCGATCCTTGCAACAAACTTTCAAAATAACACTCGTGATCAAAAAAAATATTTACAATTTAATATTCTGACATGAGTATAAACCAATGAGGTAAGTATATTTTTAAAATCTGGCAATACGTGTTCATGATGGGTGCTTCATGCACGTGCATGCAGTGCGTTTACAAATCATGCGATGGACATGCGCTATGCTTTGAATGACGAACAATAATTTAAACTAATTGGATGCGTTTGTTAATGTTATGATGGTAACATGTTGTCAACAGACTGTGTGATGGTAACCATGCGTCATGAACGGGTGCTTCATGCATTTTATAATTTCCTATTATCAAAATAAACTTACCCGGATACGATCTCACATTTTTGAATAAATGAAGTTGAGAACTCATTAAATGATTAACTCACTTGTTCTGAAAACTTGTTTGTTTTAAAAAATTAACTTCATTTTTAATATCTTTTGTAAGAAATATAAGACTCGTTTCAAAGCCAAATAAATTCGAAGCGAGGACATTCACAGTGAAGCAACTTCACAACACATCTTTAGGTAAAATAAACAATAAAATATTTATCAAATACTTTGATAATCATTACTCTTTTATTATTCAAAATAATGTAATTAAGCATCATACATCAATGTATCACAATTATAGCTGAATCTAGATGCAAAAGCATCCACCTTGACCTCGTAACTGTTAAATTATTCAAAAAAAAAGAAATATATAAAATTGCAAATGGCAGCTTTTCCTTCGTCTGTCAAAGTGTCGTTGAGTTTATATAAATGTAATAACAGTTATGAGATTGTGTGTAGTGGTATAAATTAACCGACAACGTACAAGCGGTATATCGATGTTACAAAACATTTGCAATAATGGCACCTTAACAAAAGAATCACAACAGAAATGTTTCAACTACAATACTCGTAAAAATTTAAGGGCTTTTTATTTCTTCATGCAAGGGCGTCGTGTGAATATTATACGTATCAAATTGAAATTATTATTTAAAGAGAACAACATTAAAAAATTAAATGCACGGACAATAAAATTTCTTGAACTATATGGATACATATAACAACCACCTCGACCAAATAAACTTTATTCTAATATATATTTAACTAATTCCATAAGATAAATATAATGACTCAACATAAAAACAATTCCCAAATACAACACTAATAATGATCTTTATATAAACTCACTTAGGACATATAAAATTAAATTTTGGTCTATAAATCTGACTCGCACAAAACATCTCATGATATATTTGCTATGAATGAAATGTGGTCATGACATGAAATTTGACATGATTTTTAACATATTGCCAATTTTATAGAGAAAAATATTTAGAATCAAAACTATAAAGAAAATGTCTTCCAAAATAAACGAGCAATACAAAGTGTCATAAAATAAAATAGATCAACATACATATATTCTTCTTCACATTCACTAAGTAATCTAAATATAAGTATTAAAAATATAAAGTATTTTAATCATAATGAATACATCACACATGCAGAACATGCACCAACAGACATATATATTATATATATAACAATTCCTTCATTTGGTCTTGTTTAAGTGTGACTCATTATCTCCTAGTTATTATGGACATCCTAACTTGTACCTCTTACATATATTTACAGAAATCTATATTATTTGTATACCATTTATGACTACGAAGAGCAAAAAATATGTGCGCTCTAGAATAATATAGAATTAATATATATCTATATCATGTAATGCCAAAAGAAATATGTACCTCAGCATATATATAATAATATAATTGACAAAATAAGCTTCGAGTTCACCTAAGACATTATTGAAAATTATTTGACAAATGCAAACAAATCTCAACTTTAAGTTGTTCGAGAATAAGATTCAGTGTAAATATTCAGTCTACCTTTATTACATACTCCGGACCTATTACTGTTATGTTACCAGCAAGGGGCTGAATAATTGACTCAGTTTTGTCATATATCCAACATAGTATTAATCTCACAGTGAGGTAAACATATATATTATAGATATATTCAGTCATTCCAAATCTACCCACACTACGATCTACCCTTTAACAATATAGTTGTGTTACTCAACTATGTTTCCTTTATATCCTGTGTACTACAAGACTACTATAGTAGTCACAGTCACGCGTACTTACCGACTGTGGCGCTGCTGTATCCCTTGGTTACTCTGAGGAAGGGTTCTGGTTGTGGGAAGCTCGTCTGTGGGTGGAACAGTTCAGCGAACCTCGCCTCGAGCTCGGCGCGAATGGACGAGCCTCGAACAGGCGGTAGAGGAGCGTCCTCACTACTTGTACTGCTAGTATGCTGGAATATAAGGAATAGAGGTTATATAAGTGGGAAGAATTCTGGCTATAAACACTTTGATTGATGTATCCTATATGTACTACGTTAGTTTCAAATTAGAACACTACTTGAATGGTTTTAACGGTCACATGATCTATATCAGGAGTTAGCAAACAGTTGTTTAGTCTACTGCCCACTTTGAGTATAATTTTTTTTTGTGCCCGAATTTTTAATTACTGAAAAACCACTATTTATCCTAGCCAAATGACATCACAAATCACCCCTAAAAACTCTACACAACGCCTACATTTTTTTTTTGATCTCTTACAATTCTACTTTAGTGAGCAAGGTGTATTCATTCGCTTGTTTTACTTTGTGAATTGACCTATGTAGGAAACGAAATCTAACTAATATAATAACTGATAACTTATAAAGCTGGTATGAGTATCAATATATATATATTAGTTGTGTATGTATGTTCATCATCTACTGACATATACCCGGTGATGATGTGGCGGCGGCGGCGGCGGTGGGTTCTGAGCCAGTGAGGCAGCCCTCGCTGGAGGCACGGGGGGCGGGGGCGGAGCACCCGGCGGGGGAGGGGGACACACGCCAGGGGGGCGAAGACCGCGGGGCGCGCGCAGGGTACCTGTAACATATAAATATAAGATCAATAAAGAGTTTCTATATCAGGTTAGAGAGTACTAAAGAGCTAATACTATTCTGATCTAATATTAACAGTACATTAAAATCATCTGACAAAAGTGATCGAGTTATAAGGCATTTATCCTTAAAGAAAACTATTTAATATTCATCTCTATCACAGTTTTTAGTGAATTAAATCTATATAAGCTTACCGAAGTGTGATGCTGGGTTCTTGGTGTGTACCAGTTGTGTGGAGGGCGGCGGGGGGCGGGCGCTCGCGGGGGACGGGGGCGACACCGGGGGGGACCTGTATAATAGGATAGTTAGAACGAATTATCATATAAGAACTACAACTATTAATATCCGCTGTATATTTGCTGAAATTGACCCCTACCACAAGTTTATACCTGTGCACACTATTAATGAAAAATTGGAACAGCTAAGCATGTGTAAGCTATGCAAACCATGGTAGGTGTAAAGAAGACAGATCTTGAACGTTTAGTATTGATCTGGATAAATAAAGATGTTAGAGATTAAAATTATTTTTTAATAATGTATTTTGTTTTTAAGATGTCACCATATTTATTATACTAAAATTAATTGCTCCGTCTTTCGCATTATATGTATGTATAACCTTCTATATACAGGAACTAGGTGTAAATTATGCTATAAAGGAAAATTTGTTGAGACTAGGAACTACATCACAGGTAATAGTTATTTTTTTCATCAACCAAAATGAAGTAATATTAGGCAATTGGTTGACTCTCAATGGTAATAAAGATAAATAAATATACATAAATGTATTTTTCAGATTTTAATCGAACGTCTACAAAAACGTGAAATGATAGATACACGAGTAAATCCGAAAACTACAATTTAACTAAAAAATAATAACTATTGAAAAAAATATACACAAACTAGCTTTCGACCCGCAGCTTCGCCCGCGTGGAATTCTGGGATAAAAACTATCCTATGTTCTTTCTCAAGTTCAACTCTGTCTGTACCAAATTTCATTAAAATCAGTTCAGTTCAGTGGTTTAGGTGTGAAAGCGTAACAGACGTACAGACAGAGTTACTTTCTCACTTATAATATTAGTAGTGATTCATTCTCACCTCGGAGCCCTCATACTCTGTGCTCGTGCCGCCAGCTTGCCATTCACTATCAACTTCTTGGGCGGTGGCGAAGGCCTATCCGGGGCGGGGGCCAACGCCGGGGGCTTCGGCGCCAGGTTGGGCTTCCCGTGACTCACGCGGGGACGGTCCGAGAGATCGGATGTTGACAATGACGATGAAGGAGACGGGGTTTGCGGCGATGATGATAGTGACGTCATGGAACCTCCTGGAAATATAAAATATCATCATTATCATCAGCCTATCAGAGTCCACTGCTGAGCAAAGGCCTCTTCTCACATGGAGAAGGTTTGAGCATTAATCACCACGCTTGCTCAAGACGGGTTGGAAATTTCAAACTTATATGTAATTTGAAATTTTAAGTCCAAGTTTCCTCACGATGTTTTCCTTCACCGTCTGTCAGTGGTGTCTAAATACTCTTAAAAAGTACATATTACTCGGAAAAATTTAATAGGTACTAGGCAGGTTTCGAACCCGCGCCCTCATTGCATGAGAGGCGGGCCTTTAACCACTAGACCACAACGACTTATATAAAACATAAGCTATGATTTTCTTTGTTTCGTAGATTAATCTATACTAATATTTTAAAGCTGAATAGTTTGTTTGTTTGTTTGTTTGAAAGCGTTAATCTCCGAAACTACTGGTTCGAATTGAATAATTATTTTTGTGTTGGATAGTCCAGTTATCGAGGAAGGCTGTGGGCTATATAACATCACGCTACCAATAGGAGCAAAGATATAGTGGTAAATGTGTAAAAAACGGGAGAAATTATTTCATCTTTGTAGCCTTCCGTTGCGTGCGCCGTGAAAACGGTTCAAGATACATAAAAAATATATATTAAAGAATAATAGCTCTTTTAATGATCTAAAAAACAGTCCGCGACAGTATATGTCTATCTTTTAAGATTAACTCACAAAAACCATTTTTACGGTACCTAATTTGGTCGAAATAATTTGTTTAAGTTGTATCAACATAATAATATCAATCTTTATACAAATAAATATGTTGTTGGTTAGGAGTACTTCATTGTGAATTTAAAAAAAACATAGGTTTTATCCTGAAAACTCTACGGGAACTCGACCATTCCGAAAACCCCGCAAGAACGGGAACTATGTGGGAAGAACCAAAAATCTGCCGGAAGTCACTATTCCACGCGGACGAAGTCGCGGCTAAAGCTAGTCTTGTATAAGGAAAGCTATTGCTAGTGTCTTGAATTGATTGTAATTTTTTTTGGACAAATGAGAAGAAAAGGAAAGGTTATCTAGAATAGTGCGTTTTGAAAAGATCTTATTAGATTAATAACAAAATACGTATAAACGTTGAGTTTTCGTTACCCAAAGACATCTGTGAGCCAGAATGTAGAGAACTCCTATTCCTGTGTAAGGTCGACACGACTGTCTGTGGCAGGCTCTGTTCTGACGCCTGTTGGAGACTGCGACTACGTTCAGCTACGGAACCCGTAGTCAGAATGGAATCCGATGAACTCTGAAAATATAACATGTTCATTATATTACTAGATTTCTTTCGTAGGAATTATTTCATATTAGAAGATATTTTTTACGTGTCAAGATTAATTAAAAATATATCATTAATTATAAATTCATTGTTCATTTGATGAAATCCGATCCGTTATAGATATAAAGGATTATATCATAGGTTTTTCAATAACTTCGAACACAATTATTCCTACGAACAAAACGCTGTTTGTAAACATACTTCAACATCATAAATATAGGAATTCTTTAATATCTTTCCGTTCTTCATCGTATTTAATATTGTTCTGTCTGATAAATAACTTCAGTGTGATATATGTATATACTCAAAATAAATCACAGTGAGTTTACACTGGGGTAATGTTTCGGAGACAATTAATAAAATATATTTGGAGACACGCGGTATATATTATATCGAATTTAAATACATATATATGTATTGTATTGTTATTTTTAGATCTTGACCCAATAAAGAGGCTTTAAACACATCACTATCGTAAGATTACCACACGTTTGCTTACTCAAAATAAACACAGAAAGTTTCGAGTTTCCATTAATAGATCTTCGCACATTGTAGTATCAACCTAGGTTTATGTATGGCGATGCGATGTAGTTTAGTGTGTGTTATATTTGCGATTGTTCATACACAGTGAATCTAGATCCAGTCCCTTCAGCCGAATAATAATAATTAACGAGCAAATTAAATCAGTAAAAACTATTGAATATTAATTTAGAATATGCAGCAAAAGGAATAATTATGTTGGGACCTTTGTTTAAAGTACCCATATGTTTTGGAGATTTTTTTAACCTTTTCATAATTCAAAGAACTAAATTTTGTTAATAAGATAATTATGTCATATTCGTTTGTCCACATGTATACAGATTAAAAGATAACACGCCTTTTAGATTTACGCACGCAATCAAGAAATTTATATACAGACATTTTAATGATACATAAACATTTTTTAAATATATATTGTGCTTTAGAACAGTTGACAAGACATCATTTTATTATATTTTTTCTTTAAAATTATCAAAAACTAATAGAAATTAAAAAGAACATATTTTACTATAAACGCGTTATGAAAATGTAATAACAAAAACAAATGTATATGAATATGTTAACGATTACTTTACCATGACTAAATAAGTTTCTCATACAAACAACCAATTGGCGAGTCCACGAACAATCTTATTTACAATCTACGATAATTAATACTAGAATAGAATTACTCAACTACTTATATTTACAATAGACGCGGACGACACGGATACGATTAAAATCGTAGTGTTATAAGAAAACTTATAAACATAACTAGGTTTTGCCTGCGACTTCGTCCGCTTTAATTTCGGAATTAATAATATGTGTATAGCTGACCGAACGAATTCTATACCATTCTAGAGGCTGTAAATAACCAGATTTAGGAAATAATTAAGTTTTTTTTTCTCTTTCGATCGAATAGAACTAAATATCCTATGTCCGTCTCCTGGTTCTAAGCTATCTCTCCACCAATTTTCCACCATATCCCTACAGCCGTTCTTAAGTTATAAATAGTATAACTAATCCAACTTTCTTTCATATATACATAGATTTTATCATACAAAACAAAATTTTTGTTTAATTTAATTTTTGTTCGAAGCTCGTGTACATATTTTCCCATATTATTTTTGAGCCTCGCGTCGTGTCGGAAACGTTATTGGTATGAATCATTTGTATTGACTCACAATGATGACTCAATTGAATTATCTTCAAGGGAAAAACTTAAGGACAACCGCAAACGTGTACATTGAATGTTAAAATTTAATTTAGTGTTGGGAAAATTAAGGTTCGTAAAACCGATGTAACACATATACGATTATTGAAATCAAAGCTCTATGATTATCCAATTTATATTGAGTTTATTTCCACGAAAGGCTATTCTTCCGCATATAGAAACAGAAAAGTAAATATACACATACAGCAACTTTCTTATAACCGCAAACACGGCCGCGGTTTCGGAGTTTGTCTCTTGCATATAGATTTTTAATCTATATAGTATATACTCTACTTATCTGTGGATTTACCTAAAATTTTTATTTCAAATACATTCTAACGGTTTTGAAAGGTTTATATCCTGTTATTCTTCCTCCCTAAATTACTTGGCAGCCGTCGCAAATAAAATACACATTTATTATGTACATACATATGTGTAATGTGTATTTTACATTACATTGAGTCATACCCTTGTATATAAATATTAAAATATTTTAAGTCCATCTTAAGTAGATAGACTTTACTCGATCACAACTAAATTTAATCAAATAATTTCTGAATACAGATCGCAAACTGTTATTAATTAGCAGTGACAGTCAATAAATTATTTAAATATATGTAAATAAAAGTATGGAATTAATATTAAATAACTAGTTTGTAACACTGACCTCATTTTTTACTTTCAATTCGGAACGCATCGTTTATATTCGAGTATATAATATATATATATATATATATATATATATATATATATATGTCTGCATGTATGTACATAATATTCAGGATATATTTACCATATTTATAACAACCGTACACTCATTACATATATATTTGCATGCCGCTGTATAAACCATACAAAATATTCCATCACGTTTCATATGTTCAATAGAAATTTTGCTATTTCGTATACATGCATGATAATAACTAGCATGAAAAGCTTCAAGACCCACTTCCTGAAGTGAGACGCTCATTAAAATACTCGCATCCGTACCTCGAGTTCTCATTTTTTATACTAATTCGAGTTTTTCACTACGTGCATCGTTCCAAGTACATATAACGTATACACGAAAAATTTAAACCGTACGAATTAAATTCGATGCAAACTCGATTTAAATATCGAGAAGCATACATTGTAACAGTAGTATTAACTTTTAAATAACAATTACGTCTCAAGTATTATATTTATAAGTTACACTCACTGCCGTACTTTAGGTATAATAAATGGTTGGATGCCATTTCAATTTAGCGAATATTCTTACTTGGCCTAAATAAAATAAAATTCATTCCCAAAGAGGGTTGACGTCAGGCAGGCGGCCGGTATTAAAAACAATTAGCCAAAACTATTACAACATGTAAGGCAGACCCTGGTTAAGGCTGGGAAATTGCCGGGTAGTAGAACAAGAAGATGGTTGGATGCAATTTCAATTTAGCGAATATATTTACTTGGCCTAAATTCGGATCTTCACATATACAGGGTGACTGGTGAATTACTATCGATACTTGAGGACGTGATATTTGACGATCATATATGACAAAATAAAAATTAATATAACATACATATTAATAAACTTCTAATTAGGATTAGGTGTACACACACACACACACACGCGTGCGGCGGCGTGGTGTTGTATCAGCACGCCGCCGCACGCGTCCACACTTGGAACACTTGGAACGTGTCCACACTTTATTTATTTATACGGAAATTTTGTCAAAAATTAAGTACCTATTTTTTTTACATAATTCGAATGAGAATCATGTACCGAGTATGCTCCTTAAATATTGATAGTAATTCACCAGTCACCCTGTATATTGAAATCTTAAAAAATATTTAAGTTCTTTACAGATATTTATCTAAAATCTAAAAAAAAAGAAAATACAATTCAATTCTAAAGTTCATAATTTTAACTCGAGACATACATTTGTTGTTCATAATTCACAATTATATTACAACTGTATAGTGTATTAAGTTAGTACGCTCTCATTGTATTGAACCGGACTAGTCTAGACTACAGACGCTTGGCTCTAGATTCATACTGAATAAATCTGTCTGGATATTGTACTTGAAAATTTAAATAATATTTTTTCATTTTAATATATTTAGTACTGTTTAGAACTAAAACTATCATCAAAATTACGTAGGACTTCAATGTTTTATTTGAGTTAAAAAATATTGTTGCAGTAATATTATTGCTTAGAGAAAAGAATTAAAGAACCACAAAAATCGATTTTTTATTAATATGAGCCCCGATTTAAAGATATTTAAGATGAATAAGTCGTATCCTCAGGATTCATTTGTGAAGGTGACTTTTCAATAAAAAATAAGTCAAATTCTCTTAAGATACCTTTCATTCATTCCTATATCCCTTGAAATTTCTTATTATAAACAATGTAAATAAAAAAATACATAAATCCAAATATTATTAATATCAAACAATATTCTATCCCCTCTCATATAAAAATGAATAAAACTTCGTAATGCCATTTACAACTGAATGTATGAATCATAAGATTTACTAATAATAATTAAAATATACGTAGAAATGATTGCCTTTGGTTTAACGACCATTTGTACTAATTACTTTTAATGACAAATACATAACCGTTCAGGAATTTATTTACAGGAATGAACTTACATTATTTTTTACGCTTGATGACTTTAGGAGTTTTAGTTTATTATAAAAATAATGAAATGTATTATATAAATTAGAAAAGAAATAATGATAAAGAAAATCATAAATATTCGTTAATAATATTATAAGCTATAATTTTATAACTAGATTTATTAATTTAAAAAAAAAACCTTACATATTTATTTTTATTTAACTATTATAGTAGTTAATTATTTAATTCATCATGAGATAGAAATAATTTAAAAAAGCTGATACTTTTACATTTATAGGTACTGGGCTCATATTAACCAAATATGTATAACTATTAGCTAAGAATCAAGGAAAAGAAAAAATCTTGAAATAAATAAAACTGCATCAAAACACTCGATCCGTTTGAGAGCAACGATGCCACAAACAGACACACAGAAAATCAAACTTATCACACAACTTCGGGTCGGAAGTTGAAAACATTATACACTAGTAGAAAAAAAGCTTAAATAATTTTGAATTGTAAGTTCGTAAATTTTACGAATTTAATTTTACTAACGAATCGCGGATTTAAAAGAAAAATCATATTAACATAATATTAACGTATTTAAAACAAAAATTCCACTAAAGAAGAACTAATTT